ACTTTATTCAATTTAGCCCAAGAACCAAGTGTGTTTGGCATCCTCACCAATTTGGAATTTTCAGAAAGCTCCATTCTGCGACATCGTATTCGTGAAGAATCGCCCGCACCCACGATAAGCCGTAAGCTTTTTTACCCTTCAGAGAACCCAATTCTTTTTCTGATAGCCCTTTAGTGTTTCTTGTTCTTAGCTCAGCTCAGTGAGCCCACTTCGAGATTTAGTCCGGAAAAACGCCGATTTTCAGGTCCACTGACCCCGTTGACGTTCACCGCCCTTCCTCCTTCTCGCTATGAATGCGAGGTGACACCGAGGAAGGGCGAAATCGGTCGGACGAATCATCGAGCCAGAAATGCTTGGTGCGTTCAGTTTAACTATCATTTTCTTCTAAATACTAATTTCTTAACAGCTAACAAAATATGCTAACCCTGGAGTGCTGACGAACTAACCCAACACGAGTTTTTGCTCGAGCTGCTTGACTGTTTATGCAATGGGCTCCGCGCCTCTTCGTGCTTCTTCTGCCTCCGTTTAGAGCCCGTCATTTGTCAGCAATTGAGCGTTCCACCTCCTTTCATGGCAATGTCGAACGGCCCATGGCGTCATTTCCCTGGTGAGGGACATTTTAAAAAAGGCTGAGTTATCGATTCGACTGTCGTAGATTAGAAATTGAAGAGTGTCTTCATTTCCCACTAGGCAGTGACTCTCCTGTGTTGAGCAGATCGCAAAAACTTGCCTTTTCTGAGTAACCTCTTTTTCTCTATGCTTTCGAACTCTAACGAACCCACTATATCAATATATTCTTGTTCATCAAAATAAGCCCACTCCGTCTCATTTTTTGTTTCTTACTGAGAACAGAATTTGCTTGGCAGCCCCTAAAATCGAAGCGCCGCCATCTGCCGTTTTTAGAACTCGACTGAGAATTTATTCATGAGGGTCTTGCTGCCCACAAATGATTTGCCGAGCCTAGACACGATTTCTGCCACTTGCTCCATAAATAATTCCATTGCTATACGAGAGCTTTTTCAGTCGCTAATTCTCCTACACAGTAGTGTATGTCGTTCTCCCCATAATATATATAATATTTCAAAGCAATAAGGTTTTTTGACGGTACTTTTCACAAAATCAAAAAAATATGATGACCCTATCCGAAAAAGAGGGGCATTTAGGTGCAAAGCATCGAGTGCTTTTGAAACCATGGCAACTTCTTCACTTACTGGTTCAAAGAAGTAATACTCGTCTGGTTTCCTTATTGCGCAAGAGAGTTAGTTCTGTCACCCTGGAGGTTCCTCCGCCCAGTGAAATGCCTCCACTTATTGGAATTGACCCATATTATTTACCAAGATTCCTGGTCTAATATTTATGAATGCTACGTGCACTGATTCAATCTTCTATCGAAATGGAAATGTAGGTGAAAATGATGCGATAGTCAAAGGCAGTCAGAAAAAAAAACGCTATTGGGCCCCACTCTGGCAAATGGTGTGAGGAAAGGGATACTTTGGGGTTAACAATGAGATGGACACTTTGGACGAGTTTACCATGGCAGTCAGCATTATTTCGAAAATCATGCTTTGATTGCCATCGCTAGGCTTTGGCAAATTACCCTTGTAATGAAGTGCTCTTTGGAAATGAAAAGAGATAGTGATGAGGGTATTAGTACCCAACAGGTTTCTGTTATTATTTAGCTGGAGAGGATGAGGAGGATGGGGAGAGGAAAGGTGGAGATTGACGAACAGAAACACGAATGTGGACTGTGGACCAAATTATACATAGTGCTTTGTTGGGCCTCTCTGAAAGCGCTTTTGGTAGCGAACGCCTTACGCACTGCCTGCTCGTACACCTACACCTTCTCGCTTAGTCGTTCCGACGCAAACACTAGAATACCGTGCTCTCTCCCTTCCAGAGAAATTTCTTGTAAACCCCACGATTGGAACTTTCACTCACTCGAAGCTTTTTGAAAGTGCTTCAGACTGTCCCGCTCTCACTTCTGTTTAAAGATGCGCCTTACAATCGACTTCCGTTCAAAATCGGCTCGTGAATGTGCATTCAAGCAATGCGAAAAATTCCGGGGTCTGCCTACAACAAATCGGTGACCCTACTGACTAACAGGACTGTACCATTTTGTGACCCTGTATAGAAGACTGTTTTTTTTTCTCTGGGTGCCGTTCGATGGAGATTTGATCAGTAATACTTACTTACTTAGATACTTAGACGACCCGTTGATCAGCACGGCGGTTGGCCTTGCGCGGGTCCCAACTTCTTTTCCATTGCTCGCGGTCTTGGGCTTTCGTTGTCCAGTGTACGGCCACCTTAAGGGACACAGGATCATACACGTTGTTTCTGTATGCCAAAGAGTCTGCCCAACGTAAAGGAGGGCGGCCAAGTGGCCGTTTCTTCTCGCGCGGATACCATTGAGCAGTCTTCGAGCTCCAACGTCCATCGTTTCTTCTGATCAAATGCCCAGCAAATCGGTGCTTCGCTTCATTGACGTGAACCAAAACGTCCTTAATCTTCGACATAGCTCTGACGTCAGAATTGTGCAGGCTCAGTTCTCGTTGACGGCTCAGCGTTAGGCCTATCAGACGACGTTCAATTGATGCCTGAGCGGATTGAAGCCTCTTTTCTAGCGATTTTGTTAAGGCCCAGGTTTCTCCAGCGTAGCTGAGGGCAGGTAGCACTGACGAATTGAACAGGTCGGCCCGGAGCTTCCGATCCTTGGTATCTTCTGCAACACTTCTTATTGAGTTAAAGGCGGCCCATCCAGCCTTACGACGTCTCGCTAGCTCTCCGGAAAGATCGTTCTTCATGTTCAGCTGGCTCCCAAGGTATATGTACTCCTCAACGTCTTCGATTGGACTTCCTTTTAAGAGTACAGGGGCGCTAGCTGAGAATGCATTCCGCATGACCTTCGTTTTGGAGGTGTTGATAACGAGACCGCAATGACTTCCTTCCTCGTCCAGAAGATTTAGCATCTCAGATGCATGCTCTGGCGAATCCGTAATCAAGACGATGTCATCGGCAAATCGGGAGGTATTCAAACGCATGCCGTCGACGTTGAAACAACAACAACGATTCCTTGGCTGCTCCAGTTGCAGCGGCGTATCACGGATTCCAGACAGGCAGCGAAGAGGTTAGGTGATATTGGATCACCTTGTCGCACGCCTTTCTCAACTGCAACAACAACGTCATTGTAGAAAGGGCGAAACACTGTTGAACATTCCGTGTAGCATTCACGCAGCACATCCACGTACACCTTTTCGACGCCTTGGTCTTCCAGCGCCCTCCATACCTTCGTTGGTTCCACTGAATCAAACGCCTTCTTGTAGTCAATGAATTCATCACGCAGAAGGCAGTTGATGCTCGCATCGCGATGCTCTGAAATAAACACCGCTCGACAGCCCACTCATCAATATGAGTCGAGCGTGCTAAGAAATTGTAGGCGACCAGAACCTGCTCTAACTGCTGAGCCGCTAATTCCACAATTAACATCGTCACCCCCGAGATTAACGCGCCACATATATGCAACGCGTAAACACTTTGTAGAATACCGGCAGCAGAGTGATGGGACGATAGTTTGCCAGGTCTTCTTTATCGCCTTTCTTGAACAGTAACACTGTCGATGACTGCTTCCACGCCCTTGGAACAGCACATTCAGCTACATACGCGCGTAAACCTCTTAGCAAGGGCTCGATATAAAGGCAGACCGCATGCTCGAAGAATTGCTACCAGAATAGAAACATAGCCCGATGTCTAACCTCACCAAGACCATATGTTTGGGGCATAGTTTTCAAACACCGCTGCGCACATTCAACGATTATGAGAAAGGGCAAAAACTCTATCGGTCGCCTCAAGCGGCAAGCATCCTTCGAATGACGGGAATGTCTGACTTGACAAGCTGTGTAGTATTAACGCAACTAAAAGCCCCAGAATTTGCTCCCCCATCAAATTGTCCAGACAAACGGATACCACTACATCGAGACACTATTGAGCGCCACGCCGAATCCACCTCGCAAACGCGATCGCTCTCGAGCACACACTACTACCTTTTCTGGATTCCCCTCAGAACGCATTCCCACATCTGTTTCGATCGTCATAGATCATCCTCATACAACCCATTATGAAGTTGGCATGGTCTTCAGCAATCCGTTTTCTACACAACCGGCTGAGTAGAGTGTACTCCAAGTGGTTTCTTTGTCTGTCCATGTGCCTGCGTTTCTCGAGAAGAGCGCGAGTAGCTGCAGTGATACGACGAGCATTATGATTCGGAGCAGTACGGCGACAGCTTTCTCCAAGTCTTGTTACCGCTTGCACGAGGCTATCGTAATCGGTGTTGACGTCACCAACCATTTCAAAGTGTTCTTCGCTTGCAAGCCTTGAGACAGCGTCTACGTCTAGCACGGTAGGTGTGGAATGTCTTGAGCGTATGCGCATCAGGCGCACTAGGCTGCGGTCGAAATGGAATCGTCCTCGGAGTAGACGGTGATCGCTACCCGTGTTGAACGAAGGCACCACTGCAACATCTGTCATGATTCTACGGTTGCATAAGATGTGATCCAACTCATGACAATGCTGCCCATTCGGGGTTACGTGAGTCCATCTTCTTTTCGGCGATTTGATGAACTGACTATTGCCGTGATAGAAATGATGGAGTTCGCAAAAATTCGCTAGTCTCTGCCCAGCTTCGTTACGATCTTCGGCTGAATGTGGACCCGATGAAGACCTCCCCGGCTCTCCTTGATCCAACACGAGCGTTGAAGTCACCCATTATCACGACGTAGTTGCGTTGACTGCGAATGAGTTCTTCCAGTTGCTCATAGAAGTCATCGTGCTCCTCTTCATCACTGTCTGCTATAGGCGCATAGACTTGCACCACCGCTATCTGTATGTCCCTCGAGAGCGAAGCGGTTAGCACGGCGAGCCGATGACTATGGAACGTTACACTTCGCACATGTTTGGAAAACTCCGGTGACACTATGAAGCCAACGCCTCCTGATGTTGAGTTAGACTTGCGGGCTCCTAGGAATACTGACGTCCCATCGGTCCACGTGCAGGACAAGGGCTCCTTCCGCTTTGTTTCACTGAGGCCGATTATATGGTATTTGATCCGTCGAGCTTCATCGATAAGTGTAGAAAGCTGAGCGGCCGAACTGATGCTACGGCAGTTGTAGGTACAGGCAATCAGTTGGCTCGCTCTTGTCCGTCTCCTTTGGTAGCCTACGGCCCTGAGATTTCCTCGCCTTCGGCTGTTTGCTGATCCAGCGCTACCGGACTGGGCAGGGACAGCCTGCAGGGGACTAAGGCAGTTATCGTGGTATTTTCGTCCCACGGGATAGCCTTACCAGGGCGTTCCCGTTGCTCAAGGAGAGCGCCGTCCCACCAAGGGCTTGGGCACTTTGGGTTCTTTAGTCACGGGGAATCGGTATGGGGTTTCGGCGCAGCCCTATCGCCCCACCCAGCCACTCACCGCCCTAATCCACAACAGGTTCGATCCCACAAAAAAAAGCCTCAAGCTCGAACAGCTACAGAGTATGAAACCCATGAATCCAGTCGAATATTGAGTTGATAAGTGGCGTTTCAAAAAATTGTACGTATTGTCTAAAATATTTCGAGGAAGATGTTCTCTACTCTTCATAATCATGGATAATTACAATTTGCGACAAAATAGCTGGACAAATTTTCTGAAGCTTTCTTGACAATTGACCTTGTAACCGTAGGTAACTTTTTATTTCTTTGATAGTCTATCGTTAAGATTCATGCGGTTATTACTGTCCATTCAAGGGGAAGAGCTGATGTTCAGGCTTAGCTTGTACAAGGGAATAGCGTTTGTTCGGCTAGCGGGTTAAGCTGGAGCTATATTTCAATCCCTAGGAAAATTTGGAAACTAACTCGCTATTATCGCATCCATCGGTAGCTCGTTAATACCTATTCCCTATTCCTGTCTTGCTGCTCTTTGGTGCGTATCCCTCGGAGAAACCATTAGGACCAGCAGCACCACCTGCCTAAGAAAAGTATCTATCGAATGAAATAATATTGCATAATGGGATAGGTCTTGCGGGCCTTACCTAAGCGTTCTTTGTGGTTCAGCCATCAGTCGACGTAACTCTGCGAATCTTTTCGCCTTGGAGAAATCACGTACGACACATTTTCACTTACCGTCATACAAATTCCAAAGGATCCGCGACCGAATTGTTGTATCGGATTGTCGACCGGGTTTCAAGCGCGGTATTCGGTGTCTGCGATGCGGTCTCCGTCGGAAGGATCCCTCATGGACGGAAATTGATGCCATCGTCAACTCGCTCAGCCCAAAACAAGACCGGTCACTCGACACTCAGCGGCACATTCAGTCCAAAGTTGGATCACAAGTGCTATAGTTTGCACTATCCGTAGCATTTGAATCGAGCTGCGATTGTTACCTTAAAGAACGCTAAAATTCAACACAAGCTATTCCAAAATGATAGTACAGTTACCGCAGCCTAAACTGGACTACAACTTAATTCACAAAAGTTTAAGAAATCTTAACTGGCTGCGTTCAGTCAGTCGCTCGCTTCAAGCTTACTACCGAATAGAAGTGAGGCCATGCCAATCATTAAAGTTCTCATGAGGGGGTACAATCAGGCTGTGGGAGGATGAGAGGTACATATTGATAAAAGTGGTACATAGGGTTGAGAAGGTTTTGTCAGACTGCAGTAGTTTTTGAGAAAATTTCCTATTTTTGATTGAAGATTGCGGCAATTTTGGGAATTTCAAGGAATTTCGGAAGAACTCGATTACTAATTGTATTAGCTGTATATTTCTTCCTCACTTTCTTGATTCGGTCCCCCCCCCTCTTCAAATACTCGACGGCAATAACGAGGATGGAGAAGGAAGTGGAGCGGTTGGAGTTGTATGAATCCTAAGGACGAGCAGTGGGGGTGGTGAGAAAGATCCTTTTGCTCACATATATAAACTCGTGAGCTCAACTTAGATCCATCCAGAATTATACAGTGCCGACAGCCTCTGAGTCACCTTTCTACACTGTTGTCCATGAGGATCTTTCAGGGAGGTTTTCCTCTCCATAATCCATTTCTTCCTATAAAGCAATTCAGTATAGTGCACTTGACCATTTATCCTAGAAAGAACAAGTTGGTTCTTTCTTGAGGCGGAACAAAAAGCACAATACAAAAGAGTGTTTAGGAACGCTAACGACAAATTCACTTTTATAAAAATATTCCCTATCCTAGACGGCTCAGAACCCAATCATCATACATTAAGCTAGTTAATGTATTATTTAATAATTTATTTCCTTTCGTTCTATATATCTTAAGACAAAAGACATCTCTTATTAAAGCTTTTAGGGCGAAAACTGCTACCGGAATAGGTCGAGAAAGGAAGGGAGCATTGAACTCGCAAGTTTTCTCACCTTCCGCCTGAGCTATTCACTTAAACTATCTCAAATCTTCCCTTTTGAAAAAAAAGTATTCAGATTGCTTCATCCACTGACGAAAGCCAAAATGAGCATTGCAAGTACTTCTAGCTTTTTCCATATCCCAACCTTTAACTGCTTGCTGCAACTTCTTTTCATGTATTGTGATAACCTGACCTGCCAGGCTTACTAAAATGCCCAGATATTCAGCAATTTCTTCGACTGCCTTCTTTTTCATATGCGTTTCCAGCTCTTCGGTGTATCACTGAGAATTTGGATGACACTGCTCAAGAACTGTTCCAGTTCATTCAACGTCTCGAACAATTTTGGAATCGATCCTCCAGCTCACCTCAGCTCTCTGTTTGTGGTTCGACTAACACCTTTTTAACACTTGACTGCTTCTAACATCAACTATTTACTAGCAAAGCAACCCTCTATTTCATTTTGAATTAATTCCATACATTTCTCCATTAGAATGCTCAGGCGAAGGCGGCTCCTCCTCGACAACAGCTGAGGACATCGCCGAATTGAAACGAATTTCAAAAGAAGGAGCTTCTATATCGTCAAAAAGCTGAACGATTGGCTGAAGAGCTCCAGCAACAGCGCAATCGACGTCACGGCTACGTGTAAGTCATTTGTGCTTCTAAAGCAAGGGTACTGTACCCGTTTCAAAAAGTGCTCTTCCTCTCTCAAAACAGTGATATACATACTACTGCTCTTTCAACGTGGTAATATCACCGTCGTTCCACGGTTCCCTAAATTATTCATTCTATTGTTTTAATTCGAGCGCCGGTTCTTCAAAGTTATGGAAATCAGGGCAAACAATAGGAAAAAGGAAACCAGCTCTTGAGTTATGACGAGAATTTACATTTCGGGTTACGCTTCCAGAGAAGTTGTTGGGAGGCTATGCCGCACCTTTTCTACGCGCACAATCCGGGACTCATCCCTCGGATCAAACCTCCACCCCTCTAGAGAGAGTGGGTTGGTTGGTACTGCTCCCATCTTCGTGAAACGACACTGACTTGTCAACCTGTTGGCACCTGCAGCTCGTCGTAGTGTAGGCTAAATCGAACTGAAGTGTCACTAACAATAAGATTTTCAATGGAAAATTGTGTGGCCCTTCTCAAAAAGGACCTTCCAAAAAAGCCCTTTCTTCTCTCGGTCTGCGCTTTGTTTTTCTTTTACCCTTTATCATGCTTTTAAAAGCTGCGTTGATACACTTCAAGGAAGCAACGTAATGTTTAGCGTTCGCCATGTGGCCCTATCAGATTTCAATATCTCACACCGCGGCTGATTTTAGCTGCAACGGGTGCCCAAGGATTTACGGCGAAAACGAACCCACTGCTGTTTTCAGGGGAGTAAGGGATAGAAACCAGTGGGTAAACTCCAAAGAAGCTCTGAATTATCTTGTATTGGGATCAACCGTCCGTCTGTTCAATTCGGACAAGGAAAATCATCTTGTGTGATTTTGGAGAGGAGGCTCATTTTTTCGCGAAATGGGATAGAAAATGGGTGCGAAATGGGTGGGTTGAGAAGAGGAAATTTCTCCCAGAATCTGAAAAGTTATTGCGAAATTTAGATAAATTTTCAAAAGAATTATGATATCTCAATAATTATGTAAATATGAAATCCGGCTTAACACATTGGCGAAAGCCGGTTGTCCGCGTATCTCGGCGACTTTTTAATTATTACTTTGATAGTAGTCATTATTCCTTCAACAATTCCACCACTGGTAATTGGGGCACTGTTTTCGGGACAATATAATGCATCCAAACAGCTCTGTAATATGAAAACTGCCAAGTAAATCGAACAAAGGGAGCCGGATCCATGTGAAAATCTTACATGCATGCGCGTCATGTTGTCCTCAATGTGTTGGAGAACCTTGAGATTTTGAGCGCGAAGCAGTCAGTTTGTCAAGTGGTGCCAGGTTCGAATCTAGAAACAGGCATATGGAGCCCATTCGAAATAGGACAGTCACGGTTGGCCCTGCCTCGAGTTCTGCCTTTCAAGAGTTGGCGGCTGAAGCAAATGTTTGCAGTAAAGAAATGAGATCTGTTTTTAGCCCAATATCTAGCAGCTATATTTGCTCTTGTTCACCTGTGGAACTGTAGATATAAAAGCTTGGAAGCTATTGTACATGCTTCTTTGCCAGGCCAACAGCGTCACCTTCATTAGTTGGCAACAAGGACCGCTTTGGAGGGCTACTGGATGAGTATAGCCGCCGTACGAGTCCTGCCCCTCTACACCCCGCTGTCTATGCGTATACAGCCACAGCGATTTTCAAGTTCGACGCCAAATCACCAAGGTACCCGATTCAGCGTTTATTTGTTTTGGTCACTTGTACAGTGGTAATTATCAATTATTGTGCTGGCCTAGAAATATTAGCTCCTAATTTCTAATTAAAGATTGTCTCTAATTTTGGTTGAGAAGAATGCTGATAAAATTTGTGCACCCTGAATTGTTTCAGGGAATTGTCGCTGAATCGCGGGGAGATTGTTCGTATAACAAGAGAGGTGGATGCAAATTGGTTGGAGGGCGAACGGAACGGTCGAAGCGGTTTGTTTCCCCGAAGCTATGTGCAGGTAAGAGCAAGCATTATCACTCAAATCGCCTTGAAAAATTTGCCAGCTTCAGTTGGACGACGAATTCGATCGTTCGCGGTGCAAGGCAAAAGCCGTTTACCCGTTCACGTCCCGACGATCCACCGAACTCTCGCTCAAGATGGTCAGTTCACGAAATTTGCTGTTCCAATTTCGTTTTTCATTTCATGCATTCACTTCCGAACTTTTACTCGTCACATCCTTTTATCCAAATGTTTTTTCATTGATTTTAAAAGTATTAGGTGACGAAAGAACCTTCTCACGCTTTCTCATTTCTTATTTTATTTATCTTTTATTACTATGATAAGGAGCTGAAGCTGACCAAACTGTACCCTCCCTTTCAAAAACGAGAAAGAGCGTCGGGTGCAGACCGTACACCACAAGTGACGACGGCCTCAAGTAAATCTGGTTAGTAGTGTTCATAGTGATAGCTGATTTTTGGTAAATGATAGTTGTAATTAGTGACAACTGATAGAATACAACTAGCAACAGAGTAATCACTCATGTGCATTATGTAAATATGAAATCCGGCTTAACACATTGGCGAAAGCCCGGTTGTCCGCGTATCTCGGCGACTTTTTAATTATTACTTTGATAATAGTCATTATTCCTTCAACAATTCCACCACTGGTAATTGGGGCACTGTTTTCGGGCAATATTAATGCATCCAAACAGCATGAAAACTGCCAAATAAGTCGAACAAAGGGAGCCGGATCCATGTGAAAATCTTACATGCATGGCGCGTCCATTTATCCTCATGTGTGGGAGAGCGCTTGAGATTTGTGACGCGCGGAAGCAGTCAGTTGTCAAGTGGTGGCCAGGTTCGACAAAACAAGCAGTATGGCACCATTCAAATAGAGACGTCACGGTTGCCCTGCCCCAAGTTGAGCCTTTCAAGAGCTGGCGGCTGAAAAAATGTTTGCAGTAAAGAAATGAGATCTGTTTTTAGCCCAATATCTAGCAGCTATATTTGCCTTTGTTCACCTGTGGAACTGTAGATATAAAAGCTTGGAAGCTATTGTACATACTTTTTTGCAGGCCGACAGCGTCACCTTCATTAGTTGGCAACAAGGACCGCTTTGGAGGGCTACTGGATGAGTATAGGCCGCCGTACGAGTCCTGCCCCTCTACACCCCGCTGTCTCTGTACGTACAGCCACAGCGATTTTCAAGTTCGACGCCAAATCACCAAGGTACCCGATTCAGCGTTTGTTAGTTTTGGTCACTTGTATAGTAGTATCAATCATTATGCTGGCCTGGAAATATTAGCTCCTAAATTTTACTAAATTAAAGATTGTCTCTAATTTTGGTTGAGAAGAATGCTGATAAACATTTGTGCACCCTGAATTGTTTCAGGGAATTGTCGCTGAATCGCGGCGAGAGATTGTTCGTATAACAAGAGAGGTGGATGCAAATTGGTTGGAGGGCGAACGGAACGGTCGAAGCGGTTTGTTTCCCCGAAGCTATGTGCAGGTGAGAGCAAGCAATATCTCAAATCGCCTTGAAGAATTTGGCCAGCTTCAGTTGGACGACGAATTCGATCGTTCGCGGTGCAAGGCAAAAGCCGTTTACCCGTTCACGTCCCGACGATCCACCGAACTCTCGCTCAAGATGGTCAGTTCACGAAATTTGCTGTTCCAATTTCGTTTTTCATTTCCATGCATTCACTTCCGAACTTCTACTCGTCACATCCTTTTATCCAAATGTTTTTTCATTGATTTTAAAAGTATTAGGTTGGCCAAAGAAGCCTTCTGCACGCTTTTCTCCATTTTTATTCTTATTGTTATCTTTTTTATTACTATGATAAAGAGCTGAAGCTGACCATGGTACCCTCCCCTTTCAAAAACGAGAAAGTGTCGGGTGCAGACCAAACACCACAACTGACGACGGCCTCCAAGTAAATCTGGTTAGTGTTCATAGTGATAGCTGATTTTTGGTAAATGATAGTTGTAAGTGACAACTGATAGAATACAACTGCAACAGGCTAATCATTTCATTGGCAGAAAACATTAACATTTTGTGGAGGCCGTCGTCACTTGTGGTGCATGGTCTGCACCCGACTTTCTCGTTTTTCGAAAGGGAGTGTACGTCTACCGTGAGGGTCCCTAAATTGTCTCCAGCGCTCAGAAATTTTCTCGATGCTACTTTTCCAAAACGTGGCGAAGAGCAAGAGGGTCAAAAAAGGAGGCGACCCACTTCCGAGTTGGAGTTGATCGTCTAATTATTTCGTCATCAAGATGATGATTAAGGTCCAGGATAGGTGGCAGTCATTTATAGCTCGACCAGGGGAATACGCTAAGAGAGGTAAGAAATCTTGCCGCAGCTCCAGAATTTCTTACCGGGCTTCATTTCGGATCATGGCGATTCGCAATGTCATGAAAGAAATAAAGATTGACGCGGCACGAGCACTTTTGGAGGGCTGCCTCGAATAACTTCTGGAATTCTGCCGCGTAGATCTCCTCCTCCACAATAGTGCCCATGACCGAGAATTTGCAGTCAAACTTCCGTAAGAGCCCTACCTGTAACAGAGAGTGCAGGGCGCTGCTGGCCTCTTCCGGATTATCAAAAGAAATTGAAAGCGCTGGTACAGGTAAGGCCGCTCTCATACTTTGCGGCGTTGCTGACGTCGCGATCCGTGTGGACGGTGCAAACGGTGCGGGGAGCGTGAAGGGCGTCAACACGCGCACTGGCGCATGACGCGTACTTGGCGTACAGATGGTGGCTCCCGGTCGATAATTCTAATTCCAATACATTATGTCCATTTTGTATGATTTGTATGGCGTCTTGCTTTCATTGGTGTTTCACACTTTTTATTTTTTCGCCCTAGATCAATATTTCTCAGTTGCTCCTGAAGAGTAGCAGTTGCATCTCAATGGGCGGTAAGCCTCAGGTGAGGTCGTTAGTGAGCGAAGGCAATATTTTAGAAAAAAAAGTTTTGAGAAGAAAAAAACACAAAGGAAAACAAGATGGCACACAAAACATCAAAACTAAACATACTGAAACTGAAATTATCGATCGATCGGGAGCTACTCTCTTTACACCAAATACGCGTCCTGCGCCAGTGCGCGGGTTGACGCTCTTCACTCTCACCGTACCGTCTGCACGTACCGCAACGTCCGCAACAGCGCAAAGTACATGAAAGCAGCCTAAGGCACACTGTAGCGATGAGTGACATTCCCACTAAAGCTATTGCAGATAGTGTTGATCGTTGACACGAATTCACACTTATGCAGATATTCACTAGACAATGAGTAGTCTAGCACAATGTAAAGTGGCGGTAGCTATTGCGCGCACAGTTCGGGAAAGAAATCCCGGCTCATACTTTGTTCAGGGCAACCAATCCTTCCACCCTTCGGGGTCGACTCCGCAGGGCTGTGTAGACCAAATCGCATTCAAGTGCTGTTATGCTCCTGAAAAGTACTAGAGTGGCGAATCTCAGAAGGACTTATCAAAATTCAGCAATTTTTTAAAATTTACAGTCATGAGCAAGCTATTCGACTTGGGATCGTCAATTTTCATGTTGGCGTCTGGAAACAATCCGATGCCACTTTTAATATTTAAAATTTGCTGCCCCTCTTTTCAAAAATTACGCTTGATTTCTTTTGAGATTTGCCCTTAAGCTCTGAATAGGTAGCAACTTGAGCCGTGTGTAGTTTTCAGGCTTACGTCTAAAGGAATATAATACTGGGAAAGAGCTAGAGCTGTAAACATGTTTATTCATTTGTAAACAACAGCATTATTGGCAGCAGCATTTCTTGGAGCGGCCGTTATTTCTATGTATTCAGGGCGAACTGGTGACGTTGCGAAGGGAGATCGACGAGAACTGGCTAGAAGGCACAAATCATCTCGGTGAAATAGGAATCTTCCCCAGAAGCTACGTTCGATTACTCGAGGACATTCCGGATGATGTGAACGAGGTAAGAGATACCTTCAAATACGAGTAGATTGGTGATCCATGTTAAGAACTTTATGAGAACTGAATTCAGATTCCACAGTTGGCATATTCGCCTGATCGTCCGAAAACTCCCAAAGTCTACGAAAAGGACGCCTACCGCGATTTTTTCGACCTGTGAGTAAGTCAATGAAGTCGGCAGCTCCTCGGCTAGTAGAGAACTTAGGCTACAAATCCTTCTATTTTATAAAGCGCTAACTTTGTGTGTCGGTTTGTTGTCTGTATGTGTGTATGTATGTGTGTATGTATGTGTGTCCGTCCGCAAAATGAAGTGAGTGAGAAGGAAGCTCATGGGATAAACAAACCGCTAACAAATCGGGTAGCTTACAGGATTTGAGATATCAATGTTTTGTAGCAGGATAGTTGTGATAACACTCTTAGGGCTATATAAACACCTGCTTAGCACACTTCCGTTCATTGCTGCAGTGGCAGCTGGAGGGCAGTGGAGAGAGGAAGGGAGGATGAGGAAGGGAAGCGAAAAATCTACCGTCATATCATGATTGTGTCCCTTCTACTGTATGAAACACCATTGTGTTGCATACGCGTCACTTCCAGGAGGTGTTGGTGTCACAGGAGGAAGGGACCATAGCGGAGGATAGAAAGCTTGCGCAGGAAAGGAAGGTCCCGGCGGTTGACGGGGGACTAATCTGGGTTATATAATTATTAAAGGAGAAGCTGCGCAAATGTAGAAGGATGACAGGACTCTCAATTGCTTTCCACTGAGAGGTCCTAATGGGCGCTAATAACACTCGGTGCGCCAAAGAAAATTGGTTGGAGAGACGGTATAGCACTTCCACCACAACAACGTT